ATCCTACAATGTTCTCGATCAAGATGTTTCTAATTTTCTGGGTCCAATAATCAGACTCTTGATTACTTAGTTGATGTCACTCTTTAGTTTCCTCTTCCCTTTGATCAACCTTTATGTAGGCTTAAGCTATCTTCTGATCTGCGGTTTATGGTATTAGTTATCCTTTTTAGCCTTTCATGGGGGCTGAGAAATATGCATGATACAATCCTTTAATAATTTAATCCTTCGTTTATGACGTGGGCTCAATTCTTTCTTTTAAAGTATACCAGAATCTTCTATGGCTGTATATGATGTATGTATAAAACTCTGAACCCTTAAGTGAGTTCATAACATAACCAACTCTGGATCATTGATCAAATAATTTCTTTCGTTCCATTTTAGCTTTCTTTCAACGTAAGCTATTACTTTTCCTATTTTTTCTGCCCTCTTGTTGCATCCATACTTAGCTTATCTTAGTGCTCACACATGCCAGAGTTTTCGTGCAACTCATATGATCTCGAATATTACTTTTAATTACTTCTCGTTCATTAGTCACGGTAGGTGTCACTTTCCTTTGGAATGCTTATAATGTTGTTGTGAGACTGTTGTTACATGACCATTTCCTCTTTAGGTCGTTGTCCTTAAGTTGAAGCCTTCTTCTTTATTTCCTCAGCTAGTCTTTCATTGTAGTACTTAGGGAGAACCCTTGACCCTCGTAAAGTTGTGAGCTTATTATGGACCTTTTGATGTCCTTCCTTGCCTATAATTATCCATAGTTGCTTACCTCTGTGCCCTTGTGCTTGTAGGGTTGCTTCTAAACTGATATTTCGATTGCCTTCCTAGTGACACTTTCTTTTATCCCCATAACACTCATACGGTACCTTTAACTACCCCGATTCCTATTTGAATATATATCAAGTATTATAGTGACATCACTGCGAGGCTGAATTCTCCATGTTAGGGTTTACTACATTCATCTTGCATGATCTATTGATTTGTCCATAGCTTCTTGTCTAGTCATGAATAGGCTCTTCCTGAATCAACCACTAATTATTCGTCAGCCCATTCTCGTATCCATATTCTGAATAATCTTTCTTGGGTTATTTCTTTGTCTTAACTTACCTTACGTACTGGCTCCTCATCTATCAATAACATCCCGGGTAGAAACCCTTACTTCCATTTTTTTTTGACGTCGTGCTTACATAAAGTTCTGGAATCCTAGCATATTTGTAACATTTGGATAAGTGCAACCTCATCCCTTTCTCATTTTTATCACATTCTTCCTTTATTATTCCATATTCCCCCTTTTCGGGGAGTAGTAAGACTTTGAGCTATGACGACCTGCCCATAAATATTTTTCCTCTTCATCTTTGGCATTCTTTCACATTATCCATGACCCTTACTCGCCTTCCGGTAATCCTTTTATACCAAGGATAACTAAATTCCTCACTCGCGATGGTGAAACTTAGTGTAACTTGCACATACAGTCTCTTAAGCTTAACTTTGCTCACATTGCTTGCTTTAGGGAAGCATTTCCCTGAATGACCATTCTCTGAATTCATCATGGATCTTCTTCTGTTGTCCATTCTATTATTGTCGGAATGCACTCTGAATTTCTCAGGATGCTCACTATTATCAAATTACTCAGTTACTAATTCATGTTTAGTTTATCTTGTTCACCAGTCCATATTGATTTCTATTACTCTAGGATCTAACTTTTCCTTCTATTAATCACGTTAGATTCGCGAACTTATTTCTCGAAATGAGGATGTGATTGTATGGCCTGTACTTTTTTGTTGTCTTAAGGCCTATCACCTTTCATCTCTTTCTTCATTTGACTATAAGTTTCGTAACACTCTACCGTTTTCATCCATGTATCACACCTTATTCATAATGCTTCCTTATCTCTCTTCTCATTACTTTGTTAATATTTCTGCATATCCCTTTTCTTGTGAAAACTTCAACACGACATTCTTTCGCTTTTAGCTCACCTTGCATCATTCATCGGCTCTTCGATTTGCTCAACATCCTCTCTCTACTAGGGACGAGAGTCATACTAAAGTAATATTTATTCCTTCCAGGCTTTCAGTGCCTATCATCTGAATTTTTTTTATCGTGCTAGTATTCACATCTAATTGTAATATTCTAGAGTGCACCATGTAGGTGTCTCACAAGGAGATCTATTAGCACATTTGCAATATTCTCCGACAATGTCAACTAACGCAAGCAATCCATTCACCAATTTGGGTTACCCTAACCCTAGACGGATCTTGATATCCCGTCCTTCTCTTAATTATACTTGTTAGCGCCCACAAGGCATAACTGAAATGGGTGTGACCAATCGTACACACCTTTGTTACTGTTGAATATAACTCAAAACGCTTATGTTCCTTTTCCTAAATTATAAACACTGTTAACCTTCATTAACTGGGTGCCTCGTACCCTTCTTTATCTTGCTTATTTTTCTTGTTGAAACTTGTATTTATCTTCTTAATCTCTCATTGTCTTTCACCATAAGGATGGATAGGCATTCTTTCCTTAAGGCTTTCTATCAGGAAGTTTACACCTTTCAGTACAACCATGATCTGCTAAAGACCTCACATTTACTTATCGTAGGCATTATACAAAAATCCAATTCCTCTGACTCAGCTCTTCCACAACTATCTCTCTTTCCAACATTCTTTCTGGATGTAGGTGTCGTCTTATTATGAATAAAATAGAATTTCAGAATTTGAATTCTTATAAGTGAGCTCTACCACACGATCTAGAGTAAGAAGAAAGAGTAACAATCCTAAATGCCCTGTAGCATCATGCTTAAAAGTGAGGTGCACGACGCACCCATAAACAAGACTCCACTAGACACGGTTTGTAGACTCCCTAGGAGAGAATCACTCTGATACCACTTTTGTCATGACCCAAACTGATGGACCGTGACGGGCACCCGGTACCTTACTCAACCGAGTACCAACATAGCGTATCTTTTCATGTCATACTATCATAAATAACTGAGCCGGAAAGGCTACCATGAAATAGGTAGAATACAACATGTAATACCAATCTATACATAAGACATACGGGCCTACAAGCCCAAAATAACCACTCGTACCATATATATAGGCCGACAAGGCCATACAATATCTTACGTATATGACCTCTGTCTACAAGCCTCTAACAATAAGAAATTTTCATAAAGGTCGAGACAGAGTCCCGCCATACGAAACCATACACGTCTAAATCATACTAACCAAAAAAGCAACTCCGAAGCAAATGGAGCGCACCAATATCTTCCGCTGAGCTGATAACCTACTTGGAGGGATCTTGACCTGGCTATCGGGACCTGCGGGCATGAAATGCAGCATCCCCATGCAAAAGGGAAGTCAGTACGAATAATGTACCGAGTATGTAAGGCACAGAAATAAGTACATAACAGACATGGAAGAAATATAGAGTAATTGACTCAACCTGTAAGTCTGGAAAACTTTGTAAATCATAAAATACTTATAGTGTCATGCATATGAGCATGAATGTCATATCGTGTATAGGTACATGTTTCATAACATCATCAGCCTCTGAGGGCCTCCCATCATATCATCTCGACCACTTTGAGCAAAATCATCAACGTATACCAGCTGATCAGGTGGTGGTACATATATGTCACACCTCCTTTTTTACACCCCGAAAGGGTATATGGGAGTTTTTTCAATTAAAGTGACATTATTCGAAATGAGATTATTTATTTAATTTTTAGAGTCGCCACTTGGAATAATTTATTTTTGGTGTCCCAAGTCAACAATTTATTTTTAAATCCCAAATAGAGGAAATTTTCGACTTTATTTAAAAGTCTGCGAACCAGAAATTCTAGATAAGGAATTTTGTTAACCCGGGAGAAGGTGTTAGGCATGCCCGGGTTCTGTGGTTCTAGCACAGTCACTTAGCAATTTATACTTGGCTTAAAATGTCTAATTACTTATTTTAGAACCTATGTGCATTTACCTTTCACCGCTTTTAATCACTTGATTATTCATATTTAAAGAATTGAGTTACGCGTACGTATACTCTTTTCCTTTGGTGCGTCAAAAATTATGTCACGTGAATGTGTCCACAATTAATAACGCTTTGTTTATTTTATTAAGAAAAGTTTGGTTGAAGTTTTGCGAATGCATCCCTCGAGTTACTTTTAGAATTAAATTTGTAATTATGTTACGCAAACGTATACATAATCACAATACTAGTCTAAATCGAGCCTATAGCAAACTACGAGTGTTTAAGGTTATATTAATACTAGGTTAATATCAATATGAGGGCCATAGGTTATGGATTTTTGTTTGTGTATGGCACATCTCGATTTATTTTAACAAAAGGGTGCATTCCATTTGATTAGGACTAAGGATACTTGTATTTGGATCCTAATTTGAAATTCGAACTCAGAGTCTTTTAACTAAAGTATGGGAAGGTTAGGCCTAGATTAATTCTTAAAAAAGGACTTATGCTTGGGCGTTCATCATTGGATCAAACTGGAAAAAAACGTTCAGCTTTGAAAAGCTGCCATTGGGCTCAAAGTTTGGCCCAGCAGAGAATGAATTCGAAGGCTATTTCCTATGTTGGAGCTTTAATCAAGTTCTGCCCACATTAGGCTTCAAGCGGGCCCAGTTACTATGTTTTTCTGGCTGGGCATATCCAACCTTTTAATTAACCAAATCTGCCTATTCATGTATGATTATACCAATTGCTCATTAACTAAAAATTAGTAAGGGTTAAACAACAATACCAGTTAAGAATTAAACGCATAACTAAGCAGGATATAATAACATGTTTTATACTATAAAAGAAATTTCACAATTGAAGTCACTTTATAGGGTTCGACGCCTAGGCCCATTTGTCTGGGCCTAGACTTACTCAAATGAGTTCCAATGTCGGACCTCACTGCAAGTCTGGCCCAATTCATGCTAAACCATTACACAGTGCAATAATAATGTCCATGACAAAAAAAGAAAAGGATTCAACTGCTATCACCCTATACATAAGTTAAATGAAAACTGAATTTAAGAATCATTATAACAGTCTTTTTTCTCTGCTGAATGTCCATGAATTTACATAACTTTACTGAATACAATTATATATCTAGAAAAAGGCTAAGGCAAAAAAACCGTCTTCCTTCCAAATTTGGAGTCTCCTAGCTGTTACAAAATCTTTCAAAAAGGCAACTTCAACCTGCAGGAAATCATCTATAGAGTTGTTTCTTACAGGATACCATTCCAACTCTGAAGCTTCCTACTGCTCATCAGGCTTCTATTTCAGCCTAGACTTTCATGAATCTGACCATGTGAAAAGGTCAGCCTTAAAAAATTTCTTCAAATGTAAAAACCTACAGTATTATCAAATCAATCTTAACTAACCTAATGCAAAAAAACGAGTAAAAGGAAAAGCAATATTGTTCATAAATCTGACCATGTTTTAAGGTCAGCCCCATAAACGAACAAAGACTTCCAAACCATAATCCTACTCCAAGTTCTCTTCTTAGTAAAGAAAAAAGAAAGGGGGGAAGGGAAACAACTTAGACATATGCTAGAGGAGTCCAGAATCTTATGCACTATTTAAGGAGTGAATCTGACCATTTAAAGGGTTAGATTCATTTCCTTTAGTGCTGCTATCAAAAGAGTAATTTTGAACATAGTTTTATAGTATATAGACATATTGATTCAGCCACCCAACATTGACATATGCAGCACAGTCATTTCAGATTTCATGAACAAATGCAGCAGCTATTTAAAGTAATATCAACACAGGGTTTATGGACATTAATTAACTCTAAATTCAACAAGTCAAGGATGCTAAAACTAATAGCAAAATTCAGCCAAATGAAAACAGGTTTCAAACACAAATTTCAAACTCAAAGTTAATTCTATTTAAGATAAACGTTGTTACATACCTTGAAATTGAAAACACAAACAGAGCAATGACCAAATAAAGGTCAAGGAGGAAAGAACCAAAGAGCTTCTGCAATGAAATAGTAGCCAAAAGTCCCAGAAGAAGAATTTTAAACTTCAAACCATTTTCTACTGATAAAAAACCAGAAATCTTCAAAGAAGTTCTTCAATTTTTACCAAAAATCAAAAGAAGATAAGACAACTGAACTTTTAGAGTGTATTTCTTAGGGTTTTCAATTCTGATGTGTTTTCAGGAATTTCTGTGCAGAGAATGAGGCTCAATGTGTGTGTGTGAGTGAGGGAATATTTCCCTTTTATAGAATGCACAAAAAGGTATCAAAAAGCATATTCTAACCTAAATTTTCTAAAAATCAGAATAGTACAACATCTTTTACAGCTGTCTGTCCTTTTCTTTATCCAATATCAGCATTTAGGCTAAGGATAGGGACAGCTGTGAAGAGTCTAGAATCTGATATTTACCTTATGTGAAAGTCCATTTTTACCCCTTTAATTACTGCTTATTTCAACTTTGTTCTAAGTTCTTTTAGTTCAATTAGGTCCCTTCAATTCTTAATGATTTATAGACTAAGGTGAACAAGAACAAAAATGTGACTTAAAATCAAGGAAGATCAAATGGACAAATCTTGATTCAATTTAAACTTCTAACTGGACCTAAATTATTTTAACACTTAATTGAAAAGAGAAATGGCATAGAACAGGAACATTTGCACCTATCGTGAATGCAGAATCGATCAATAAGCCATTTTGTAAGAATCGAACCTATTGATCCAAACTAATATCACCATATTAGGGAATCAAACAAACAAGAAATTAACATGCTAACAAACATTAATGAACCCCAAACGACAAATTGACCAATCAATGATTATGACAAAGTGCTTAACTCATGACTAAATACAGAAGGAAACAACGATTCTGAATAAAAACAAGAACCTAAAACATGCAATTACAAACAGAACAACCACAACGAAGAATCAGTCAAAGAAAAAAAAAAGAAAATGAGATGGCCAAGAAAAGAAAAAAAATAGAAAGCAAGCCAGAAATTACCTATACTAAAGTGGGAAACAAATTGGAACCGGAGAACCTGGCCTGAGCTTGGACTGGTTAGGGTAATCTTGAAAATAAGTCAAACCCACATGAATCAATTGCTCTCATCAAAAGCAGTTGACTCATGTAGGTTTGAGCCATTAAATCTTCCGGAATCGACTCAGTAGAGGTTTTTAGATTTTCAGACTTTCGATTTGAAATTGCTTGATTTTGAGGGGCTTTTTGGGAAAACCAGTAGTGTATTAGGGGTGAGGGGAGTGAAGGAACAACCTAGTGAAGTTTTGGGTTGATTTGGAGAGCTTAGGGTTTTTGGTATTAAAACTCAGATTTGAGATTCGAGGCGTTTGAGAGTGATTTGAGGGGATTGGTTTGGAGATTTGTAAAGAGGAGACGACGAGGGTTCTAGGGTGTTGATTTGGGGCCATTTGGAACACCGGAACCGATGTGAGGCAATTTTCGGTAGTGTTTGGCGGCGGAGACGGTGAGGGAGTGAAGGCAGCTATGGTTTCTTTAGTTTGGGTGAAAGAGATGAATGAGGGGTTCTGAAATGGGGGGGATGAGGAGTTTTCAGACAGTAATATAGTAAATAGGGGACCAATTCCGGGCCGTTGGATTAACAGGATCCAACGGCTATGATGAAAGCAAGATGAAACAGGGTCATTTTGGGGGTGGGAAATCCCGGACCGGGTAGGCTATTTTGGGCCTGGGCTTTTGGGGCGGATTTGGGATGAATTTTGGGTATGGGGCAGCCCAATTTCAATTAAAAGATCCCTTCTTTCAATCAACTGTTTTATTCCTCTTTTTTTCTTTTCCCCTTTTTCTTCTCTTTTTTTAACAAAAATTAAAAATCCTAAATTAATCTAAAAATTATTAAATTAAATCAGATATCTAATTCCAAAATTTATAAAATTACTATGATCCTAAATTAGAAAAGAAAAATCATTAGTATAAAAATTAAAGGTAAAAATGCACAATGAGCTATTTTTTGTAATTTTTATTTTTAATAACACAAATAATTAACTAATTAATCCTAAAAATATAAAAATAAAAACTAAATGCAATGCATGGTATTTTTGGCATTTTTCATGATTTTAACAAAAGATTAACCTGCACAAAAATACAAACAAATAATAAAAATCTTACAAAATTCAAATAATAAGAAAAAATCTATTTTCTTGGATTTTATAGGAGTAATTTATATAGGGCAAAAATCACATGCTCACATTATATAACGCCATAACCTTTCCCATATCCCATATACATACATATATACACGTATATAATGTCATCTGGTCATGGGTCAATGTACATGAATGCAATGCATGAAAAGTGCAATAATAAAGTCTTTTGGAATGTCATAAGACCATTTTGCGTTTGAGTAATATCATAAAATAAACTCTGTTCAACTTTCGTATTTTTTTGAGACCCGTGAACAGATGATAAAGTAATAGGACATACGGGAATTCAAGAACATAGGCACCTCTAATATTTCTATGAATAGAGTTATTTATGGAGGTTGTGCATTTTCTTGTTTCGTTTGTATCGTATGGATCATGATAAAAAGAAAGAAGGGATAGCCTTAACATACCTGGAGTAGGGAAAAATTCCATATGATATTCTTCGGAAAGGTTGCACCGTACTCCGTTAGAATTGCAAAATTTTACGTTGCTAAATCTTGTTGGAATCGTTTTGTTACAAAGAGGATTGCTAACATTTCTTCTCTGCTTATTACAAAGTCGTAGTATTGAAAATGGTAGGGAAGAGTTTGCATTTTTGATTGAAAATGTCTTTTGTGAATGAGTTCCCAGAATAATTACATTCTTGAATGTTGTTCTTGAAAGTTTAACGTGGAGGTGTCTTTGGTTTAAAGAACTAGGATGCCACATATTAATAATTGACTGAGTCATATTATTAATAAGGGGATTTGCTGCCACGTTATTTCCTTGACACTTATCCAAAGTTTTCAATTAATTTAATTAGGTAATATCCCGCTACATTCAAGAATGGTAGGGAAGAGTTGTTAGGATCGTTTTGTTACAAAGAGGATTGCTAACATTTCTTCTCTGCTTATTACAAAGTCGTAGTATTGAAAATGGTAGGGAAGAGTTTGCATTTTTGATTGAAAATGTCTTTTGTGAATGAGTTCCCAGAATAATTACATTCTTGAATGTTGTTCTTGAAAGTTTAACGTGGAGGTGTCTTTTGTTTAAAGAACTAGGATGTCACCTATTAATAATTGACTGAGTCATATTATTAATAAGGGGATTTGCTGCCACGTTATTTCCTTGACACTTATCCAAAGTTTTCAATTAATTTAATTAGGTAATATCCCGCTACCCGATAATTAACCAATTACCCACATAATTAAGAATTATTTCCACTTAATTAAAATACTACTTACTTTTAACATACCTTGTACACCTTACAAGAATGGTCATGTAGTATTTTGTATGGCACTAGTCCATAAATACCGAGTATTTTAGCTCGGGCCGTATTTTACTCTAAAATACCAAACTTTGACGAAAATTTATTTTCTTTGACTTGCTTCCCCTTTCAACTTCACGAATTTACTCATCACTTGTGAAATAGCATAATCATTATAATCTCTAAATAATATTTTACTTGGACTGATGTCAATTACCTTACGACAAATTCAACGTACAATACTACAGGGTGCAACATCGTTGTAACTTAATACTGCAAAGCGTATCATCACCGTAATGTAATACTGCAAGGCATAACATCATCGTACTATAATATTGCAGGATGTAACATCATCGTAATATTGCGGGGTGTAATAGTAGGCATCACAACCAACCTCCTAGACACCATCAACGAAGATAGCAGAGAGGATAACGAAAATGAAACACCAAACATCATACCCGGGGGAGACACTTCACCTCCACCGCACGAAAACGTGACTGCTTTACGTGAAAGGGAAGCCTCCACATCTGCAACAGGAGAGGTGTTTACCATGAAAATGGTAATAATACTTAAATTTGATTTAGTGGTTATAAAAATACATGATCTATTTTATGCTAGGTTTTATGCAGTAGATGTTATGTGAAAGACTAAGAATCGAAATAAGAGCTTAAGAGCGAGGTGTTAATCAAACCGAATTACTGTCAATCGGGGCCTTGAGCTTGCCTATTCGAGGGCCTCGGGGTCGAGTCTGAAGCTCGGTTGGGAACTATCGAAGGCACTCGATGGTGGATAACAATTATAAATAAATCAAAGGCGGCTCTTTATGGCTAATAATAAGAAATAAATGAAGAACAATAGATAAAACACAATAGATATGAGCAATAAATGAAGTAATAAGATCAAGAGAATATATTAGAGAGCAGAGAGAATGTTCTTGTATAATTAGTATGGACCAACAGACCTTACAAAATGGCAAGGATACCCTTTATATAGGAGGAAAAATTCCAACATAGTACAAATATATTAATTATAAAGATATGGGCTGCTGCAGCCATTTAATGCATTGATTCGCTTTTTCGATTAGATCACTAGGCCTAGCCAGCTATATGTATGTACCTTGGGAACTTCACCTTGATCCGCCAAGACCGTTAATTCCATTGCTTCGAGGCCGGTCATTACTCATATTGTCTCGAGGTGGATCCATCGAGAATTCTCGAATCGATTACTGGAAACCCTCGAGATGCCATGAAATCGAGCCATCGATTTCCACCGTATACAGATAGTTACTGCGTTTCCTAGATTAAAGTGATAGGAAACGATCATGAGCCACCCACTCCATGAACATCATAGCCATGATGTCAGTCCATCAGAGCATTAAATGCCATACTTCAAAAAGTCACGCAAGGGTCACCGTCAAACACGACTATCGAGAATTCTACGAACCGCTATTAGTTCGTCCTTTCCGCTGCCCTCATGGTTTCTATAAAGGCATCAACCGTTTGACAATCCATACTTTCAAAATATCTTCAAATTTCCAGGGCTAAATCTATTCCCTTTCGCACACTTTCTTCCTCCGGTCTTGATCCTTTGCCTGCTTTCTCAGAAAAGTTTTGACACTATCATGGCGAGAACTTCCAAGACAGTTCCTTGGAAAGACGAGGCTTCCTCTACATCCCGAGCATCCAAAGGAAAACGCAAAGTGATACCCACCATTGAACAGTCTATTCCCGTTGGGTTCGACACAACAAATGATTTTTCCATCGACAAACCTTCATCTACACCAGGCCGGTGCAAACACGTGTCCTGGTATATTAGCGTAGTGACCGATGTGAAGAAAGACTGACGTTGGGGAAAAAGCAGTGCTGGTTTGAGATACCCCGTTCTTATGAAAGCATAACGGATCATAAAGCTGGTTTCCTTTATATGTACACTTACCCATTCACCCTAAGTCCGGTCGATTCTTCTAACCCTTCTCCCTTAGAGATAGATCCGGTTATTCTTGATTTCTGCGACAAGTTCCAAGTGATGCTTGGTCAAATCTATTCGTCTTTCTGGAGGATAGTCTACATGATCCGCCACTTCTCCGATGGGGTCGAGGGCGAGACTTTTACCCTCGACCATCTGATCAGATTGTATAGCCCTCAATTTAATCGAGGTTTGATTAAGCTTCATCACGGGTCCAAAAAATCATTTTTTTCGAGCACCGATGAGGAAAAGGATCGTGGATGGATGAGTACAGTGTAAGTACTTTTCCTTCGAACATGCTCTGTGGCCTTCTTACCTCTTTTCCGAAAAATGATTTCCGTTTGGATTTTGCAGCTACCGCTTGGTACCCTGAAGTGGTTCAGGATCTACCGGGATGGATCAAGTGGTTGGATACTTTGTTCCCGTATCTTATTCGGCCTTGGCCCAACCTGGCCAAAATGCGGTAAGTGGCCAAGAACCATGGTAGGATTCCTCTTGCCGATTTCACTATGTGTTTTCATTTCTTTCCCATATCCTTTATGCTGAGAGACTTCGGTCATTATGCTTGCATAGCCCTTGGTGACAGAGTGCATATGAGACCGCCTCTTGATGGTGAGAAAAGGGTCCCAAAGCCTGAAAAAGGCAAGAAGAGGAAGAAAAGTTTGACCGCTGAATCCCCAGTGGCGAAGAAAGCTAAATCTAGTAGATCTCGGGCCGAAGTCGAGGTTTCTTCTTCAGCCTCTGGAGTGGGCTCCGATGACGACGACAATGATAGAGATGACACCCATTTAGTACAAAGGAGAAAGTCGGGCATGGGAGCTCCCCAAATGTCCGAGCCGAAGAGCGCTGATTTGGGAGTTCATAGTTGCTTTGGATGAAGGTCCCGGAGACGGTTTGGAGGGTAGTGGCAATGAAGAATAGGCCTGTGTCGTCTTTGCTTTTCTTCTTTCTTTTTTGTGTATGTACTCCCGGGGAAATGAGTCTTATAAAGACGCCCAATGTAAATATTTTTTTTGGCAATGCAAGAGAATCCTTCTGCTTTAAGTTTTTTCAATTTTTTTATACTCCGTCGTTCTTGCGGAGTTAGCCTTCGAATTTCGATGTTAGCTATTTGGAACCCGTGCTCTGAGTATTCGGGGCTCCCGCGATCTGATTCTTTCTCAAAATTAGGTCGATGGCTCCTTTAGGGTCGATGCTTATAATAGCAGAAAAACCTTCGAGGTCTCGAAACCTCCCGAACTTCGCGCGATAGCAATGTTCATATGACCTAATAGTGGGTCCCTGGTAGTCCTGCCGGTACATTTCCCGAAAATGGTGATGTTGTCATGGCCAGAATTAATTGGTCTTCTGGGTAGGTGAGCAATCGTTGCTTGCCTTTATTTATTAACTCGCTTATTTCTCAAATGGAGATCCTGCTACTCAGAGTAACTATTTATTCCATAGAACTTTGTTTTTTGTGCTAGTTCTCTCATCGTCTCGACTCAAAGCCTTGGCCCAAACCTTCATCCTCCTCTTCCTATTTTATCGTAGCCAGGGATTCTACATCGACATCCGCCCGTCAAAGAGAGGGGAGTTCTGCCTATGTTCCGTGTCCGGTCGGTGGTACACCGCTGGTGCCTGGTGAACTAGCCTTGAGGTGCTTTGTTTCGAGGAGAGACTTTAAATTGGAGAGGCCTTCCAATGTTCAAGGGCATCAGGAGCATGTATCGAGGTTCATCTTCTCAATAAGGGTAGAACACCTCGAGATGATTAGAAAATATTGGGGATGGGGAGAAGGAGTGGTACTACAGGTACCTTTCCTAGAGAAGAATATCATAACCCATGTCGAGGGGTTTTTGAGCGTGTATACGCGTCCTTTTACCTCGGGTCCTACTGAAAGGGTCGTGCTTGAGTTCTGTAGGAGATATTAGGTTAACCTAGCTCTAGCTCACCCATCCCTCTAGAAGATAGTGCTGATGATAAGGTACTTTGCGGATAAGGCCGGCCTTGAATTCACTCTCAGCCATCTCGTTATGTTATATCGGCTGCTTCATTACCGGGGTTTGATTACCCTACGACATCGATCCACTTGGTCCCCTACCATTAATGACGAAGAGGACGAGGACCGGGGTGGATGAGCAGGTTCGTTTGAGCACGGACAATCGACATTATCCTTGGAGAGTTCTTGCCATTTCCTAAGAAATGAAAATTCACACGTAAGTGGTGTACCTGTATTTTTATCTCTTTGTCCATAGCAGGGGCGGACTCCATAAAGGCATCTTTCTATTTTATTCTTTGTAGCGATTCCTTGGCTGCCGAATGAGATCCCTGATCTGGCTTTATGGTCCCGCAAGCTGGCAGCTTGTTTGACCTATGATAAGCACAGGTGGCGAGACCTGTCCAAGGGGAGATGGGAGGCAAAGCATCACGGTAGGCGTTTAGCGGCTTGTTTCCTCA